GGTCTCGAACCCGCGGGCTCAGGCAATCCACTCACCTCAGCCTCCCAAAGCGCTGGGATTACAGGCTGAGCCCCCGATCCCGGCTGTATCTATCATTCTTAGGGAGTCTTTGCATATATTGTTCCTCTAACGATTCTCTTTCTTTCCCACTAGTAAAGGCTTTTTGTGTCACCTCCCCTGTGACCACCATTTTTACGCTGTGTTCTTCCTAACATGTCTTTTTTTTTTTTTTTTTTTTTTGAGTTGGAGTCTCACTCTGTCACCCAGACTGGAGTGCAGTGGCCGCTCCCGGCCACCGCAGCCTCGACCTGCTGGGCTCCGGCGATCCTTCCGCCTCAGCCTTCCAAGTAGCTGGAACTACAGGCACGCGCTACCACGCCCGGCTAATTTTTGATTTATTGTAGAGATGAGGTCTCACCAAGTTGCCCAGGCGGGTCTCGAACCCGCGGGCTCAGGCAATCCACTCACCTCAGCCTCCCAAGGCGCGGATAACAGGCTGAGCCACCGAGCCGGCTCTTCCTAACATGTCTTATCACGTCAGCCTCCCCCACTGGCTGTGGGTTCCTTAGAGGCAAGGACCTATGCTTCTGAATCCTTGTTGTGGCCCGGTGCCTGGTTCACAGTGGGTGTTGAAATAATAAACTGGGCGGGCGTGGTGGCTCATGCCTATAAATCCCTGCACTTTGGGAGGTGGAGGCGAGAGGATTACCTTAGCTCAGGTGTTGGAGACCAGCCTGAGCAACATGGTGAGACCTCCTCTCTATAATAAATCAAAAAATCAGCCAGGAGTGGTGGTACATGCCTGTGGTTCCACCTACTTGGAAGGCTGAGGCAGAAGGATGGCCTGAGCCCTGCAGATCCAGGTTGCGGTGGCTGTGAGCGTGCCACTGCACTCCAGCCTGGGCGACAGAGTGGGACTCTGACTCAAAAAGAAAAAAAAGAATGAACTAATGAGTTAATGAGGATGACAGCCAGGGACCCAGGTGAGCGTGCTGGCATGGCATCTCTGGGGGCAAGACAGAGTGAGCCCAGGAACACGGGGGAGCAGGGAGTGGGGGAGCATCCAGGGTCTGGTACCTGCAGAAAGGCGGACAACACGGCCAAGCCTCCAGGGCGCCCCAAGGCCTCCTTAACTTCGGCAAATGCCGTGCTGAGGTGAACCACGTGGATCTGGAAAGGACAGGCGGGTAGGAGTCGGCCCGATCTCCGGGTCCGCCCCTCCCCTCCCCTCTGCCCCTTCGCGGACTCCTCCGCGCTCACCTCGGCAGGGAAACGGTGGCCGTCAACAGTGTGCTCCGAGCCCGGGCGACCCGCCGCACCCCAGTGCAGATGCAGCTGCAGGGCCCGGTACTCCCTCCCGGGGCTCAGGGCCATCTCTAGCCCGGGAGGCAGAGTCAGCTGCACTGCGTGGGGAGGGGCGGGTGAGCTGGGGTTCTGCCCGCCCTGCCCCACCCCGCAGGGCTAGCCTAATCCCAGAGCCCTGCCCGACCGTTCCCTGCCCCGACAGGCCTCGCCCTCCTCGCGACGGTCTCCGCGGATTCACAGAGGCCCGGCCGGGAGACCCCCTCACCGGTGTGGCCGTTGTTGCGCAGGCGCAGCTCTGGGAGCCGCGGGAGCTCAAAGCCCAGGAGCTCCAGGGGTTGCAGGGCCGGGCGGAACGCGGCGAGCTTGGGGCGGATATCCACTGGGGACTGAAAACGGCCCGCGCAGGCTGGGGACACCTGGGGCCAGGGCGGGTCGCCTGGAGCGGGAGAGTATGACGAGGAAGTCTGAAGACTAGGCCTGGAACTTGTAGGGAACCCAAGTAGGAAAAGCGAGAGGGCGGAGTCAGGAGGTAGCGGAGCGGGAAATAGAAATCAGGGATGTGGGCGGGGACAGGCCCCGGCGGTGGGTGGGACGCCCGGGACCTGCGTCCCGGCACCGTTGTGGGGCAGATCGACGGAGCTGGCTTCCCAGATTGGGTGTGTGCAAGGGGTGTGCGTGTCTCACCTCCATAGCGCCAGTGACTGTGGTCATCCCCTGCATAAATGAGAAACGGCGGGTTTTAGAGCCCAGTCCCTTCCCAGGGGTCCAAATGAGGTGGGTCACCCTCCCCGAGAGGCGACACAAACTCAGCTGCCTTACAGGGGCATAGCAGGTAAGAACGCCTGAAGCGGGCCAGGTGCAAAGCACAATAGACTGCACCAAACATAATGTCACAGCTGGGGGGGGGGGGGCATCAAACGGCAATCCTGCCGGTTTGCAGCCAGTCTTAGGGTCTGGAAAGTGGGTGAGCGCCTCCGTCCCGAGGCCCAAATGAATAAACCATCTTTCCTTGCTCCCTTACTCCTCTCTCCTCCCCACTCCTCCCTCTGCCCTGATGGGTCTCCAACTCCTTTTCCCGAAATTCCTGGCTTGGGAGTCAAGAGGCCAGGTTCCTCTACCTGCTATTTCCTTCTTCCTAGGTCTTAACTTCCTCCTTGTAGGTGGAAGATGAGACCATTTCTACACGCACTTCTTGCTTGTCCTCTGGTGCCCTCTTCACCCCCAATCTTTTCTCTTCTCTTCCCCTCATAGGCTCTTGTTCTCCCTCCTATTTTTTCTCTTTGTACATTTCTCTTTCTCTTCTCCAGCCCCCCACCTTACTTCTTCCCAGGCTCTTCCAGCTCACTTCCCTCCATCTGTGTCCCTTTTATTTTCTCTCCCCATCCTACCCTTCTTGCTCAGAGTGTGACTAGTGGTATGGAACCCCTGGAAAGGGTTACTGTCAGAGTATAGGTTCCCGTCCTTCCCTGAGTGATGGCTGCCTGGTGGCGCATGGAAGGGGAGGCATGAACCTCCTGGAGTCTGGATTTGGGGGCTGATGACCACTTACCTTTTTTGTCCTTGTGGGCATTGTTCTGGGGGCCATGAGGATCTCCAGGAGCCTCAACAGTAGGCAGATCCTCTATCTTCAGGGAGTCCTCTTCTCTTGATTTAGCCTTCACTTCAGGTAGCTCCTCCTCTCCAGGCAGATGCTCCTCTCCAAGTGGGTGCTCCTCTCCAGGTGGATCCTCTTCACTGGGCAGATCCTCTTCCAGTGGGTCATCTTCCCCAGATGAACCTCCTCCCATGAGGGGATTCTCCTGCATCTGGGACAGGCTCTGGGGACGGCCAGGCGCCAGGAGCAGCAGCGACAGCAGCATTTGCACCGTGAGGCCTGGAGCACGGGCCGGGATCAGCAGAGGGAGCCAGGAACTGGGGCACAGGGGAGCCATGTGGCTGACTGTGGGTGTCCCAGCACATGGTGTGTACGGGCTGTACGTGCATTGGAAACAGGAGCTGTTCTAGGGGAGGAGCAAGCCTGGAGGGGAGCAGGCTGACTCACAGAGTGCCCTTTTGTAGCAATGGAGCCAAAGTCCCGTGGGTCTGCCTGGCCCTGTGCCCCCTCCCCGATCCCAAAGCCTAGATGGGGGTGTGGGCAGGGGCAGAAGGTTATCAGTGCCACAGGCTCAGCCTGGAACCCAAGGCACCACCTGGCACTGTGCAGGCTCTCCCTGGCACCACCCGGCTGCTTGCCAGCCAGCCTCAGCTCACCCTGGCCTGCTTCCCAGCCCCAGGCAGGGAAGGGGAAAGGCAGGGGAGCTGGAGCCCCCACATCCTCTGGTTGAGAGGGAAAACAGCCCATGTATATATACATCCCTGGCCCTTCCAGAAAGTAGTAAACAGCTAGGGCAAGCTGCTAGGGGAGCCTGAGGGTGAGTTAAGGGTGGGTGGGAGGTAAATGTGAACCTGATGAGTGGAAAACAGAGTACATGTGTGAGAGGGACTCGGACGGATTTAACCTAAACTTATTTTTCAGCATATTACTCCCCAGCTCAAAAACCTTCATTGGCTCCCCACTGCTTACCGAAGTATACCAATCTAGTCCTCCTGACTTTCAAGTCCTTTTAAAACCTTACCCAAGAGACTTTTCCATCTTATATCCTACTACTCTCCTTCATACTCCAGACAAATTAAACTCTCCACTTTTTTCTCCAAACCTTGTATCACCTTTGTTAATCTAATTCCTGCCCCCTTGAATGCCATTCACTCTTGCATTCAGCAAATATTTATTTAATACCTATCATATGTTAGACACTAAGCTATAGACTAGAGGTTTGGAAATAAATAAGACACAGTCCCTGCTCTGAGGAGCTCACAGACAAGTGAGAGCAAACACTATCCTAATGTCATGTTGAGGAGAGACAGATTAATTCTACCTCAGAAGGTAACAGAGAAGTAGGCAACATTTGGCCATGGCTTTGAAGAAGAAGTAAGAAGTAGCAGTTCAACTGATAAAAAACAACTGGGAGAATGACAGTCTAGGCAAAGGGGAAGCATGAAATATGTGAGGGGAGTGACAGAATCCAATTCTCATATTAGGTCACCTCAAGGGCTAGTGTGGAACTTGGGCTGCAAGAGGAGATTGAGTGCAAAGAGACAAGGTAGAAGAGTGTAAGGACCCCAAGAATGGGCTGGGGGCTTCCAGTCTGTCTTCTCCCCCCATGTACTGCTGTAGGCCCTATTGTTCTGTGGCACACATTCAAGTAAGGCCCCTATGACTTTGACAAACTTCAAGAGAATAAAGCCATCTCAGGTCCATATCTAAGATTGATATTCAGTAAGCACACACCAGTATGCACATTCAGTATATTACATATACTGAAATATTTGCAATCCTGTTGGCATTATAGCCATGGCCCCTATCTCCAGGGTGCCTCTGCTACCCCAGTTCCTCTCTAGGGACCCTCCAAACATCATGATTCCTTATTGAAAGGGGTAATGCCTGGCACGGCTAGGGCCCCAGGACCCCACTTGAGTGCCTCAGCCAGCTTCAGTTCTGATAGGTCAGTGCTTGTGTGCCCACTACTGTGTTAAATGGTTTTACTAGGCTGTCTAAATCCCTTCTATTCTTCAAGACTCAGCTCAAAGGCCACCTCCTCCAGGAAACTCGCCTTAATGAGCCCTCCATAACTAGTCCAGAAAAGATCTATGGTGCATTTGAGCCACCACAGTTGTGATGCCCTCAGTAATGGCCTTGCCCACCATCTAACTCATAATAGGGTGATTTATGACATTTTATCTGCTCTGATAGCCTTGAGCTTTTTAAGGGCGGGGTCTAGTATTTGACTGAGTCAGTCTTTTATTCAACAGCCATTATTGATCATTTTCTCTCTACAGATCACCTTGCCAGGTGCTTGAGAAATACCAAATTGACTGAGATGTCTTCCCTGCCCTCAGGGAGCTCATTGTCAATGATTTGCACATGTCGAACTGCAACTGTTCCAGAAGCATGGCATCACATTTTTCTGGCACCCCAAATTACCCATTTTGTCAGAGTGACTGTCATACTTTATAGCTGAACAACAGCTGTCCTACAAGCAGTCATCTTAGAAGGTGGTCAGCCTAACATTTTAGGCTGCCATTTCTGGAACCAAACTGAGAGCTGTCCATGGCAGTCTGATCTGGGGTACACTCCAGATGGTCAGCTGATTGTCTTGGTCAGCTGTGTCATCAGCATCTTGCTTGGACCCTGACACATAGGAGGCACATGGTAATATCTGAATTATGGGGCTGTACAAGACAGAATGTGGTAACAACTAATCTAGTTGAGGTAAAGGAGGTCATGAGAGCAGAGACAACAGAAGCCCCATGCTGACTGGAGTCTGAAGGCTAGGTGGCTGGACATTTTTCTCCAACGCCAACCTCAGTTTCAGTGCATTTTCCCTTTTTCCAGATGTTCTGAATATTTCACTATTTTTCTTTTTCTTTTTTAGACCAGACAAGATCTTCTCTGCAGCCTTCTCTAAGTCCCAATGTCTCTGTGTAGATCTCTCCTCACCATTTCTAGGGCTTTCTCTCAGTATTTCAAAGCACAGATCTGCCTACAGGTACAGCTCTCTCTCTGTTACAGTTTACTAATTTTCCAAATGATATTTCCTGTGTTTCTGTTTCCCTCTTTAGTTCTCTGTGACCACGTCTCTGGTCTGGGTGGGGAATGTGGACTTTGACCCTGGATCATGCCTTACAGTTGGGAGTCTGCCAAACCCTCAAACAGGTGTGAACTCCCAAAGCTCTTGTTTCCTGAGTCTCCTCAGGTTGGAACAGACAGTACTCAGGACTGACTAACTGGGGCTCCCTCACCTCATGCTGGACCTCTCAGCGGTTGTTATAGGTCAAGTCTCTGACCTTTAGGAACTGTGTCTTCAAACACTGAGGGGCCGTGTTACTAAAACATACCTCTGCTTATCCCAGGACTATAGAGGAGGGAGCTGTTTGCTAGTGGGGTAGAAGGAGAAAATTCCCCCTTTCCCCGGCCATGGACTGGGAGCAAAGACAGGTCAAAGCCCTTTTGAGGCCTTGAGGCTGATTTGTAGTTCTGGCCAACTTCACCATCTGGATTCGTTTCCTAGGGCTGTTGTAACAAATTACCACAAACTTGGTGGCTTAAAACAATGGAAATTTATTCTCTCACAGTTCTGGAGGTCAGAAATCTGAAATCAAGGTCTCAATAGGGTTGTCTTCTCTCTGAAGTTTCTGGGGAGGAATCCTTCTGGTGGCTCCTTTTTTTTTTTGAGATGGAGTCTCAGTCTGTCACCCAGGCTTGAGTGCGGTGGCACACTCATGGCCACCACAGTCTTCATTTGCTGGGCTCAGGCAATTCTTCCACCTCAGCCTTCTAAGTAGCTGGAGTTACAGGCATGTACCACCACGCTCAGCTTATTGATTGATTGATTGTAGAGACAAGGTCTCACCAAGTTGCCCAGGCTGGTCTCGAACCCTTGAGCTCAGGCAATCCTCTTGCCTCCACCTCCCAAAGTGCTGGGATTATAGATATGAGCCACTGCGACAGGCTTTTGTTTTGTTTTGTTTTGTTTGAGTCAGGGTCTTACTCTGCCACCCAGGCTAGAGTGCAATGACTTATTGCGGCCTCGAACACCTGAGCTCAAGTGATTCTCCTGCCTCAGCCTCCTGAGTAGCTGGGACCACAGACACACACCACCACGCTTGCCTACTTTTTTCTTTTCTTTTTTGGTAGAGATAGAGCCTCATTTTGTTGCTCAGACTGATCTCAAACTACTGGCCTCAAGCAATCTACCCACTCAGCCTCCCAAAGTGCTGGGATCTACAGGTGTGAGTCACTGCACCCAGCCTTCCACTGGGTGTTTCACATAGAAAAGCTTGTCATTGGATTCAGGAGCCACTGAGATAATCCAGGATGATCTCACCTCAAGATCCTTAACTTGATCCTATCTACAAAGACCCTTTTCCAAATAAGATCCCATTTATAGTCCTGGGGGTTAGGATACAGACAAGGGCGTGTCTTTACGAAGGTTACCATTTAGTTTACCATCAGAGAGTGGAACTAAAGTGGGTATAACAGGTAAGGAGGGATAAGTATGAGTTGGAGGCCCTCAGGCTTTTGCCCTTATTCCTCTCCATATTCTTTCCAGGCAGCTTCATTCGTCCCCATGGTTCCTATAAATTGTTGAATGCCAAATATCCCCAGGCTGGACTCTCCCCAGTGTCAGACCCATAACCATCTGCCTAATGAACAAGACAGCCCCACTTGGATGTCCCACAAGTATCTCAAGTTTGACAGGCTCCATGAAGAATTAATCTTCCCCACAATCCTCCTCTTCCTCTTTCTTCAGTGAATAGGACACCCCACTCACCCAGCAGCCTAAGTAAAAAACCATCTTTGCTTTCACTCTTCCTTCAGCCCTGACAGTCAGTCATCATGCCCTATGGATTCTAGCTTCTAAACTTTTCATCCACATTTTCATCTTAGCCCACACTTCCATCGCCTCTTTTTAATTTTGTTTTTATTTTTTATTTTGAGTCGGAGTCTTACTTTGTCACCCGTGCTGGAGTGCACTGGCACCGCAGCCTCGACATGTTGGGCTCAGGCGATCCTTCCTCCTCAGCCTTCCAAGTAGCTGAAACTACAGGTGTGTGCCACCATGCGCAGCTAATTTTTTTTATTTATTGTAGGACAAGATCTTGCCAAGTTGCCCAGACTGGTCTCGAACCCCTTGGGCTCAGGCAATCCTCTCGCTTCAACCTCCCAAAGTGCTGGGATTACAGGCATGAGCCACTGCGCCCGGCCCTATCGCCTCTTACCTAGATGACTTCAACTCCAAATGATTCTTACTAAGTTTAGTGAACCAAAGCAATCTTTCTTTTTTTTTTTTTTTGAGTTGGAATCTCACTCTGTCACCCAGACTGGAGGGCAGTGGCATGCTCCTGGTCACCGCAGCCTCAACCTGCTAGACTCAGGCAATCCTTCTGCCTCAGCCTTCCAAGTAGCTGGAACTCCAGGCATGCACCACCACGCCTGGCTAATTTTTTGATTTATTGCAGAGATGAGGTATCGCCAAGTTGCTGGTCTCGAACCCATGGGCTCAGGCAATCCTCTCACCTTGGCCTCCCAAAGTGCT